GCACAGAAAGACTGCAGAGCTTAAAGGTCTTCTTATTTTAGGAGAGGTGCATGAAAATACTGTCCTGAAGACCTGCTTGCTAAATACACACATACATATATTTATTTATCATATCTGTATCTATCTATCTATCTATCTATCTATATATGTTGTATATACGTGTATAAATGTTGTAAAGGTGGTGTTTGAGGTTTTCTGTGTCCATCCAGTCCTTCGTGCCTTTTAAAATACTTGTCTGTCTTCTACTTTCAGCGTTCAGCTTAATTAAAAACTAATGTAGCTGCATCACAGGTTTCAGATTTGGATCACAGGAGTCCATTACAGAATATCTTGGGCTAATGAAATATTGGGCATGAGTTATTAGTTAGCTGTGGCTATTAAAGTGCAGCTGAAGAACAAGGAACCGACCTCTGTTACTTTGTTTCCGTCAGTATCTCACTCACTGACGACAGCAGAGACAGTGAAACGCAGCCTTTGTCCATTTTTTTTGTTTTGTTTCTTGACGTTTTTCCTGTTGATGTGGCCAACAGACGACTGATCCTGACAAAAGATGTGAAAGTTGTGATCTTGACTGTCCTTGAAGATGACGGAGGTGCTCAGTGTTCTCCGCCAGATGTGACTGACTTGAGGAAAATGTCATTGTGGAAGGCATCAGAGACCTGCCAGGGGCATTTATTCTCCGTTTTGGGCTTTTTTAAGCCCTAAACATTGAGAACCGGTTAGAGATGAAACACACGTGTCTCAGCCCAGAGCTCTCTCTCTCTTTTTGCCCAGGGTCTGGACATTTATAAGTAACTCTAATATTGTCTGTACTATCTGCCCTAATAACTATCTGTAATCTAACGTCTTCAAAAAGAATTGAAAGATTCTAAGAATATCAACAAAAATGAAAAAGGATGAAAAGGAATGAAAAAGACTTCAGCTGAGTTTTCTTGTGGAATGAAGGAAAAGGTCTTCGCTTTACTGAGCATCAAATGGCAAAATGGTTCCTGTTCAACCACAATGAGAATATCATCTCAAAACATTCCTTTTTATTCCCCTCTGGGGTGATGAGGTCATCTCCCCACCCCTTTTACACAATTCCACACCATTTTAGCCCATCATGTTCAAACCTTACACCTTTTTGGGTAACCTTTAAAACCAAACGCCATTCCCCTTGATGTTGGGTATGAAGACCAATATTCTGTTGTATTATCTAGTGCTCACCTTTTAAATGATCACTTCACAGCTGTAATGATGTTGTCCTTGTGATGCACGCCCTGATATTGAAGGGTCAGATGTGTCAGTGCTAAAAACTGAATTCCAGCTGATGTGAGACTTCTGCATCATCAGTGAATATGGACCTGATTTCTCAACAGACATTGTTTATAGCTGTGAGAATGTAAGGTAGGAACCAACTGATAAACTGTCACCAAGGATGATTTTAAGGAGCAGAAAAATGTAGATAAAAGGACAGTCAGCCAATATTAATATTTATATAAAAAACTCACAAAATTAAAAGATAAAAATATTATATGCTGAAAATCAGTTACAAATAATATAAAATAAATCTCTGACTGTATTAATCCAATTACATCATGTTGGAATTGAATATCTTAAATATTTATTCTATATTGTAAATAAATATATAAAGTAGGCTATTTTTTTTTATAGAGAAGTCACACTATAGCCCATTGTTTCCATGTCAATGCAGGCCCTATCTTAGGCCTTGGCTCCCTGTACCACTGAAAGCAGTCGATACCAATAATATTGCAGAACTTGAGTACTGGCCAGCCAATATGTTGGTCAGGCCCTAATGTAAAGGCACAGCATGAGCTGGCTAGTCCTGCCTGTAGATGCAGAGTCAGATGACACTGACACACAATGTATATTTGAAAATGTGCTGATTCCAGACTGAGCTGACTGTTTCTTATTCAAACCACTGAATCTATAGTTATATAGTTCATTATACAGTGTTGATTCAGTCCTGTTTCATTTTCTTTATAGTGCTACCAATACTGTGTGGAGTCAGGGTGACTTTTAGTGCACTGCTTGTTGCTACCTGTGTGGAGTCAACGTTACTTTTAGTGCACTGCTTGTTGCTACCTGTGTGGAGTCAGGGTGACTTTTAGTGCACTGCTTGTTGCTACCTGTGTGGAGTCAGGGTTACTTTTGGCGCACTGCTTGTTGCTACCTGTGTGGAGTCAGGGTGACTTTTAGTGCACTGCTTGTTGCTACCTGTGTGGAGTCAGGGTGACTTTTAGCGCACTGCTTGTTGCTACCTGTGTGGAGTCAGGGTGACTTTTAGCGCACTGCTTGTTGCTACCTGTGTGGAGTCAGGGTGACTTTTAGCGCACTGCTTGTTGCTACCTGTGTGGAGTCAGGGTGACTTTTAGCGCAGTGCTTGTTGCTACCTGTGTGGAGTCAGGGTGACTTTTAGAGCACTGCTTGTTGCTACCTGTGTGGAGTCAGGGTGACTTTTGGCGCACTGCTTGTTGCTACCTGTGTGGAGTCAGGGTTACTTTTGGCGCACTGCTTGTTGCTACCTGTGTGGAGTCAGGGTGACTTTTGGCGCACTGCTTGTTGCTACCTGTGTGGAGTCAGGGTGACTTTTAGCGCACTGCTTGTTGCTACTTGTGTGGAGTCAGGGTGACTTTTGGCGCACTGCTTGTTGCTACTTGTGTGGAGTCAGGGTTACATTTAGAGCACTGCTTGTTGCTACCTGTGTGGAGTCAGGGTGACTTTTAGCGCACTGCTTGTTGCTACTTGTGTGGAGTCAGGGTTACATTTAGAGCACTGCTTGTTGCTACCTGTGTGGAGTCAGGGTGACTTTTAGCGCACTGCTTGTTGCTACCTGTGTGGAGTCAGGGTGACTTTTGGCGCACTGCTTGTTGCTACCTGTGTGGAGTCAGGGTGACTTTTAGCGCACTGCTTGTTGCTACCTGTGTGGAGTCAGGGTGACTTTTAGCGCACTGCTTGTTGCTACCTGTGTGGAGTCAGGGTGACTTTTGGCGCACTGCTTGTTGCTACCTGTGTGGAGTCAGGGTGACTTTTAGCGCACTGCTTGTTGCTACCTGTGTGGAGTCAGGGTTACTTTTAGCGCACTGCTTGTTGCTACCTGTGTGGAGTCAGGGTGACTTTTAGCGCACTGCTTGTTGCTACTTGTGTGGAGTCAGGGTTACATTTAGAGCACTGCTTGTTGCTACCTGTGTGGAGTCAGGGTGACTTTTAGCGCACTGCTTGTTGCTACTTGTGTGGAGTCAGGGTTACATTTAGAGCACTGCTTGTTGCTACCTGTGTGGAGTCAGGGTGACTTTTAGCGCACTGCTTGTTGCTACCTGTGTGGAGTCAGGGTGACTTTTGGCGCACTGCTTGTTGCTACCTGTGTGGAGTCAGGGTGACTTTTAGCGCACTGCTTGTTGCTACCTGTGTGGAGTCAGGGTGACTTTTAGCGCACTGCTTGTTGCTACCTGTGTGGAGTCAGGGTGACTTTTAGCGCACTGCTTGTTGCTACCTGTGTGGAGTCAGGGTGACTTTTAGCGCACTGCTTGTTGCTACCTGTGTGGAGTCAGGGTTACTTTTAGCGCACTGCTTGTTGCTACCTGTGTGGAGTCAGGGATTACTTTTAGTGCACTGCTTGTTGCTACCTGTGTGGATGCAGCTTTGTTCTGCCTCACTGTTTATTTGAAGCTGTGCAGGTAGTCGTGCCTGCATGATCTAAATAAACATAATAATAATAATAAAATAATCCGTATCATGTTAGTCTTCATTGTTCAGAATTTTGGATTAATGATGTACCTTCTGCATTTTGTAAAATGTCATACCGCTTAAATACTGGGGATTTGTAACAGTATGTCTAACACTCTTCAGTAACTAGCACAAGTCATCACTGTACTGTAGTTATGTACCTCTGTAATATGTATATCAAAAAGAGTCATATCAATTTTAAATGCTGTAGTTTCAAAACAAATATGATTTTCTTCAACACAGTTAAATAAGTTAGGTGCTCTTGAATCCTAAATTTGGTTTGAGTTTATACAACTTGGAACAAGAAGTCATGTTAAGCTTAAATCAACAAGTACTGAGGACTCTCAATGTTATTTACTGCAACGCTACTAAATAAGTTTGGTGCTCTTGAATTCTAAATTCGGTTTGAGTTTATAGAACTTGCAACAGTCATGTCAACTTAAATTACCAAGTACAGAGGAAACTAAATGTGACTTGATGAAACACATTTAAATGAGTTTGGTGCTCTTGAGTTAAAATTTGCTTTTTTGAGTTTACATAACTTTGTGCAACAAAGTTCTGCTTACTTAAAAACTGATTGCAGAATGTTGACTTTTTTTTGATGATGTCTCCTCAGATTTTTTACAGTGTACTAAAACAGGAAACCATGACTGACAATTAAAGTGTTCCTAATAACTCAGGTGATCTTAAAAACATTAAATATGAGTGGAAATATATTTCAGTTAGACTTCACACTTAAGAATTTCTAGGGGTGCTAACAACTGTGGTACACATAGATTTGAGAAAATATTTATTTCATTAAAAAAATATTTTTTTCTCTCAATCATTTTGCCTTAAATAAAGGTTAGAGTTTGGTAAGGGTATTAAATGAAAGATTAAAAGAATGAGTTTGATTGTACAGATACACTAAAGATCAATATCAGAACAGTCAGTGAAATCTGCCTGCGCTCATTTTATGATCAGATTTGAGTGCAGCTTTGATGAATAAAGTCTATTGTGTCCTTCTTTCCTAATAAGGCTGTTTCTTGTTGTTGAAGCAGACTGAACAGTTCTGGAGCTGCTGCTCTGTTCCTGTTCAGTGTGACTCTCATCTCCAAACACCCATTTCAGGATGGAGCTCTGTAACAGTTCTGACTGTGAACAGATCCTCTGCTGTTTCACTGTTTACATGTGTGGATCTCCTTCAGCTCCACACTGATTCAGTGGATCATACAGTATCAGATTCTCTGATTAAATAAAAGTAAACAGTAAGAAATTAAATAACTCCAGTTTACCTCTTTTCCATCTTTCCTCTTCTCTTTCCTTTGTCTTTCTGTAAACAGAGAAGTAAAAGAATGAACACATGCACATGTGAAGAGAAAATCAGTGGGTGTGTAGTGTGTTTTATGGGTAGCAGTTGTTTGTAGAATTAGCTTACTGGTCATATTCTCACACTGTGTGTGTGAAATGTATTAAGTAGAATTTGTATGTTGATTTTGAAAGAGAAAACAGATCCATTTCAAACTGGTTCAGTGAACAGACGGTATGAACTAGTGTGACTAACAGGGCTGAGGGGGAGACTTTAAAGTGTAGTCCAGTACAGATACTGACCACCTGTTAATAATATAAACAGTAACCTAATTATCTAAAGGGTTACTATAATAAACTAATGTAAATTCGTTTGAGAGTAAGTGTAGCACTGACCTCCAAAGCTATTATTTTCACAGGGCATGATGAGAAAATGACTCTACTTGGTTCATCACACATTTCACAAGAATCCTAACTAACCTGGCAGACAAACTCAGAGCTGTCGAGTCTCACAGTTTAGTTAAGAATGGCTTGTTACAGTCTGGACTACTTGGACAAAAATAAACAAGACAAACATTATTTACTTTGTAAACCTAAAAGTTTCCTGACATTTAATTTAACTTGATATCCACAGTAACTCTGTACTGTCGTCTCTGCCTTCTGTTTTCCCTCCTTCATTCAAGTGATGTGAATACACAGCACAAACATCATGATAATTCAGGAAGACGAACAATAACAGAGCACAGAGCCGAGTGGCCCAGATTTCCTAGCGAGTTGGTGGATTTCTGTTTATTAACTCTTATTTTTGCTTTGAATGTTTTTTTCAAACAACCAACACATTCACATCAAATAAAGGTTAAATGCAGGTTTGGATGTCTGTAACTCTGAAATCTCTTTCTGAAGGAGGTTTGTTGTTCTGTATCATCCTGTCTTTCACTGTCCTTGTCTTCCTGTCTTTGTTTCAGTCTGTGTCTGCCTTTGTTTGCCTTCCCTCGTGTGTCTCGTCATGTGCTTTTGCTGTTGTTTTGGTCTCTGTCTCCTCCCCCTTCCTGCCTCGTTGTCATCTACATTACCTGTCTCGCCTTTGTGGATTCGCTTTCTTGTGTTTTAAACAATTACAAGGACTTGAACATTTGCATCCCGCCCCTTTGTCTCTTTCAACGTTACATTTACATCCCAGCCTCTGATAATGATAATTATGTTAATGATGTGGAAATTAATAAATTAATCAATATAGTAGTTATTCAACTAAAGACCCTCAGGTTTCTGCAACAGTATAGTTTGTGTGATGTACACTTTTATTTTGTTTGTTAAACTTAAAAGTTGCAGAAGAGTGAATTAAACCCTGTGTGTAATTTCAGACAAATTAAACACAGAGTTTAAAAACTCATTCATTCATTACCCCTCGTTTATAGCATAGTCTGAGTAAACTTAACGTATCAGGGTTTACAGTGTAGTAATGCAGCCCTGGATTTATTTAAAATATTCCTCAGAGGGGGCCAATAATTTTGGCCCATATGTTTTGAAAGAATACTCTACTATTAAAATACAACACTTTTATAGGAACAATAAGGATTTGTTGGGTATAATATTTTTTTCTATGTAAACTATTTTGTATTTTGTTTGTCACTGATTTTGAAACTCTATTATAAACTCTATTATAAACATATTTAATGTTTTATTTTTTAATCTTCTATTTTCTCTTTAGCCCAAAAACAAAGTGCTGCTTTCTACTGTTTTTCCATCACCAAAATCTCAGAGCATCTCTAAAACTCACTGAACAAAGAATCAGCATCCATCATTTCTTCTCTAATTCCTGGTTACTCCTCCCCTTATTTTAATAACAGTGTCAGTCCTGACAGGTAAGAACTACACCTCTGTCTTAAGCCCTGAACTGAGACCTGGTGATGCTGCTGGTCAGTCAAACTGTCCCAGTGTCCATCATGTCTGCTGATCCAGTCACACACAGGCACTCTATAGTTGTTGTCATGCAGTGTGAGAGTGATGATATTGTGTTCTGCTAAGATGTGAGCAAAGTTAGTTCTTACCTCTATTTATGAAAAAAAGGGCGACGGCCACAATGGCAATCAATGAAACCACTGCAATGATTATACCCACAATCGCACCAGCTGACCAGGGCAGGTTTTCTGAAACACAATAAAAAGACCGCTTTACATTCACACATCTACAGTCACGTTTGTCTCCTGTGAGTTAGAGAACAAAGTTCCTTTAGTTCTACATTAGCACTTTATAAGCAGGCGTGTATTTGACATCAAAGAAAATCCACTCAGAACATAAACAGAATATCGGTTTATACTTTCATTGCTGATTACTGTGTTTCTCTGTGTGACAGTTTTGGTGAAGCTACATCTGGATCTTCATAATATTTTCTGTTGCCAGAACTGCATTTTGTGGGCTTTGAATACTCGTCACGCCTCTGCCCTGTC